AATCTTAAATATTAATAAAGATATAAAAGTTTATATATTCACGGCCTGCTCATCCATCCGTTCATCTGGAAGATTTCTGAGAAACTACAAGAATTAGACCCAAGATTTTTAGGAATTAAAGAATTGTATTAGATGTAATCTCCTTGTAGAACTTTGTATTGAATTACACACCCATTTACACAACCTCTAGTATTATGTTACAACAATTTCTAACTGCATTGCATCACGCATGTTTAGTATCACCGGTATACCCTACATTCTCAAAAGTAAAAGTCATAGTGTATTGAGTCAGAATTTTCTATTTTACATAAATATTCATAAAATAACTTTATACATGTATAAAGCTGCATTTATACTGTATGTAAAATGTAAAAAGATATCATTACAGCTAATATTTTTTAAAAATTATATCAAACTTTTACATAATGCTACATACAATTTTTAACTACCGTTAGTCAGATTTGATAGGCTCTTTGCAGCAATTTATTCACTTTTATTATACAGTTACATTAAAAGTTTGGTTTAAATCTTCTGCTTTAAGTTACATTAAATAAAGCAATTCACATAAGATGGATCGAAAACTAAGAAAAAAAAAAAAAATGTATTTAGAACATAAATCCTAATTCATAAATAATGTGTCTGTTTAGAGCCATAGAAAACGTTTCCTTTTAATATGATTTTGTCATTTCACCTGAGATTTTGGATGAAATTTTTAATAAAAGCTGGATTCAAATAGTTTGTATTTAACTTTTAACAGTTAATCGAAAAAATATAATATAAATATAATAAATTTACTTCTTAAAATGATTAATCTTAGTCCTTGTAAGTTGAAACTTAGTAAATATCCATTTTACATAGTTTATACCTTGGATGCTGTTTGCTTCTTCACTTGCTGATGTATTTGAATAAAAGGAAATTCAAACTGCTTGTCAACAAAGCCAAAAATAAGAATGAATATACTATTATTTAAATATGGTGCCAAGTTTTTTCTTTTTTCTGTTTTCAAGTGACGTATCAGCTTTTAACTACTTAGTTCACAAAACATATAAACTCTACGATAGAAATACAAACTTATCCATTATTTTGGTTAAAAATAGACTCCAAAGTAAAAAGTTTCTCATATGATGGCAAAATAACTGTTTACTGATTACAAAATGATTGAAGCATATTGACAGAATTCTTAGAATTTGGTTAAGTTGTCGCTTGAGATCAATATCTGGTCTCGATTTCTTTTGTCGAATGGATTACACTTAGATTCAATGTTATTTCCTTATTAAAAATAAATCAGCCACTTAATTATCCTTATTTTGTGAAGAGATTAAATAATTCATTTACGATAATATGAGTTACGTTTCTATCTCCCTAAGTGTCTTTGACAAAAATAAAGAAATTGACTTCTCAATAATGTAACCCTCCAAGTAATAAGTTTTTAAAAATTTACATATCAGATAAAAATAATTTATGATTTAAAAATTATTATTTCAATTTGATTTTGGAAAGATTTCACCTCCTGTTTTCATAATTTTGCTTAACTGTTTACAATCACTTAATTAAATAGAGTGAGAAGCAATCAAAATTGAAGGAGTTTATTCCTAAAATAATTTTTTCCATATGTCTTCATTATAAAATAAAAAGTATCTATTCTGTTTTTGTCTTAAAACTCTGGATTATAAAAATAGAAAATCGAAAAATTGAAATTACTTTCATTTCAATCCATAAGAATGACAAAAATAAAACTTCTATTTTTCCTCCTTAGCAATCGATCAAACATATCTTCGGAAGAATAAACTTTGTTTGGAAACAAATTAAACTTTCCTAGCCAATTCATTTTAAACTATATTTAAAATTTAGCTATAAATTTGAAATTTCAAACAGAACAGTCTAAATTTAACCTGACCTTATTTGTCATTTGCTAGTAACATATACATATATTTCATTTTGTTAAAAATAGCAGACACTGTAAGAAATTACAAAGAACTTTTAAAATTGAAAATAAAACTATAAACTTTTTGTCATTTCTTTTTAATCATAATTATCTACTTCACTTGTCAAACTTGGCATTAAACCAAAGTGACCTTACATTGTAATTTACGTAATATTCTATCAATTTCAATAAAATTACACGTAAATATATAATTATAATCATTGAACTTGAGAAACCCGATTTTGCTCGCCTCAAACTTGTTCATTTTTAAATTAATACTCGCCCTATTAGTGTATTAAATGAATTAAAATATAGATCGGAGAAGCAATGAGATGCCAATAATTAAATTAATCTTAGTGGTAATAATTAAAGTAATGGAAAATGAACTCCAGTCTCAGATAAATGTGATTTAACATATACTTACTTAAATAGTAAATTTATACTAAATAAATATGTAAAGTGTGATTTCTAACTGGTAGTTAACTAGTTTAATAACTATAAATAAATAATATCTTTAGGTTTTAATATAAACTAATATCTTTGTCTAGTTAGGCAGCCATCTTTAGGTTTTGGAATATAATATTTAAATGTGAACAGTAATATAAGTTACATATTAAATAAAAATAAATCTTCACAAGTATATAAATATTTTACAAATCAATTAATATTCAGTTAACACTATACACTTACACGCAGGCAACTTGTATATATTTGATAGTTAGAATGCAAATTCGTATTTAATTTTTACAAAGAAATTTCGATTCATCACAAAAAAATATAAAATAGCTATTCAAAAGCAAACGTAAGAAGAGTTATAAAAATAATCAGCAGGGGATACATTCAATTTATTTACTAATAGTCCACGATTCTTAAACAATATAATTGCTTATTCATCCCTCGATTTTGTTGAAAAGAACTCTTTCTACGCAGGATATTTAAATCTCGTGCAGTCGGAAGACCACTTTGATACGAGAAATCCTCTACCAATCTATCGACATCAAGAACTCGCACCAATTCTCATAAATGCATATCGTAACACGTTCCTTCGGCATTATGAACTTCAGACACAATGCATTTTTATAATGTTTTTTTATATTCTCGTTCGACTAGTTTATCTTCTCGTCTCCGAAAGTTCATAACACTGCAAGACGACTTACAATACACATTAGTAATTCCTCAACTACCAAAATATACATTTTTAGATCTTAAACGAGTTAACAATTTAAATCTGCAACATCAGCTTAAACACTATGTAACTGATATTAAGCAATGCTAAATCTAATACAAACCTAGGTTAACATATAAATGACGCCCACTTTCGGTTAATAAAATAAAATAACATTAAACATCTAACGTAGACCTCAAAATTGTAATATTCCGCCCATACCACACTGCCCCAGAAGGGGTCTAAACTTTAAAATATCTGGTCATAAATTATTCGACTGACATTCTTAGAATAAAATAATATTTTCATTGTGCAATCATTTATTTGTCATTGCCTGTAGATAATGATTAATCGAAAGAGGAGCTATTTTAGTTCGGAAATCGATAAAATAATGGACTTTAAAGTGGTTTAAACTGTATTTTTTGCCGATCAACATCGACTAAACTACACATAAACGAAAAAAATCAAGTTATGTAATTGAATACGTAAGTACGAAAGGTCAAAGAACGTTCGTTTCCAGTTACGAGCCTGTATTAGAATTTTTATATATGTATTTAATTATTTATAACTTTAGCTGGAAGCGAATAACTAGTAGCCTAAAACGGAAACTATTTAAAAAAAAAACAATCATTAAAGTTCGATAAATAAAAACACGAATAAAAAAAACAGAACGTATATGTACCGGTTCCAGTCGCCATGTTGTGTAATCAAAAGTAACAGTAGACGTCATTCTCGCGGTAGTTCCGCGCAAGCTTTTTTCGCGGGTAATAATAATAATATTTTTTCAAAAATTTAGATCAGTGACACGTTCTACAACGAACAACAAACCGAATCCTCACGTTTTAATATATAATGCGCATTTTTCTAAGTTTTACAGTAATGGGCAACGAAGCGCGGCAACGTACAATACGATTACAACGTAATGCACGCACTTAACAACGTTTCGCGTGCGTTTGGCTTAGGAAAAAACACATAAAATATGTTTTTAATGGAAATAAGATAACGAATCATTCATAATTCAGGATACACGCGACAAAGCAGTAAAAGTAATATTTATATTATGCAATCGATATATAAACATGAAGCGACGAGCGAAGCGACGTCGCCTCTATCGGTCGCGACTCTACACGAAATTTAGCAGGTTTATTAATCGTAATTTAATTTGTCGACTGTTCGGAATAAACAAATGTTTTATTTCTGTTATAATTTCGTAATTAGATTTTGAAGTTCGGGTAAATTAACAAGGGAAACGGAGAGGGACGTCTCGAAAACAAGATGGCTGCGGCCCACGGTGCAATTTGTTTACTTTTGCCGTTTCGTTANCATATCGGGGCACTTCAAGTGCCCCGATATGTGGGCGCCCAAAGACCTAAACAACAGAAAATTCGTAACTTCTAGCATATTCTGCAAATATGAAAGAAACTAATGAACGATATTTGTCCAATGATCCGTGCAATTTCGTCGTATGTTGACCAAAACCCCATTCCTTGACGGCCGGATGGTTGAGCGGTTAAGGTGGCAGCCTACCGCTCTGGGGAATCCGGGTTCGAATCCGGACGGGTCGAAAAAATCCCCAGGAATTTTTCGGGGGTGGTCCGTCCGGATATATCGGGCTCCGTAACCTCACCGCTAGGCCACTCCATTGTGGGCCTGGCCGAACTCAAAATGGGTTTACTAGAAAGATGCCCACAGGGCGGAAAAAGTTTAAAAACAAACCTAAACGTAATTGCCAAAATTGAAGCCAACCATAGAATACTTACGCACTGTGCTACATAAATTAATATTATCGAAAAATAATTAATACTCATTAATTTTTATTACTCTCTTATAAAAATTCATTATTTAATTTAAAAATAATTACTACTATTTTTAAATATTTAATTTAGGATTTTGGGCTATTTTTTGGAAATTCCTTTATGGCAATTCTTCGATGTAAATTTTGAAAGATGGCGCACGAAGCTCAAACTCGTGTTCAAACGGCGTTAAACAATCTTCTTCAGGATTTAGATAAGTCTCATCTTAGAAAAATGCAAGTAAGTAAACTTTTCGTAAAGTTTATATACTTAGGAATTAATTTAAATTTGTCTATTTTTATTTAAAATATAAATACTCTGATAAAAGTTGTAAAGTACGAACCACGTGTACAGATAATATACAATAAATATATAAGATACTGATAATTTAATACTGATTCGTGTAAATAAATGAAACTTGTTCCGATCTACAGGCATTCTGTTATTTTAATTTTAAAATATAGTAATATTCGAAAACGATAGATGGCGCAAGTGGTACTTTCGTATCTTTTGAACGTTAACACTGGAAACAGGTGATTGCACGTGTTTCACTGTTTATCACCTTCTTATTTTTTAAATGGGTAAGATTGCAGATGTGAATCTTCGCTGCTGGGATCTTAATAGGTAAGATTCAAGCTCCTAATGAGGGGTTTTTGAACCTCTCGAATGCAGACCCTCTTGTATAGTAGAAAAGTCAAAGGAATCATACCTGTAGTCTTCACGAGATATTTGCCTTCAAAGGTTAGTTGTTAACACGTATCAGTATACTGCCTATTTTCCATGCTCCGCATCGTCAAGGCTTGCTATCGCTCGCCTTGACTGAGGCTCCTCATGTAGTTGTGCACTTTGGTCTTCACTATTGCTGTACTTCGGCACTTGGGTGGGGCGAGTCCCACACCTCCTAAACCTATATAACGTCGAGTACTCCACAAACAGTCACGTGGGCTACTCGATGTTGGCTAAATAGTTAAATGACACAGTCTTAACAGAGCGATGTGACCCAATTTTGGGGGCTGTATCTTATGAAGGATTGCTTTGACATTTTTGATCCTATAGGTCTAATGTCTACAACCATGATAAGATCCCAAATGTTTCATTCAGAGCTCAAATTGAGCCCCTTAACAGAGCTGTAGAGCATGCCCATAGGAGCAAAAAAGTCAAACCGTCAGACTCATCTGCTAGTTTTAATATATTTTTCTTGATAGTTATTGGTTAAATATAGAGCCCTACTGCATGTAGCATTATGTTGTATAGAGTGGTGCTACTCAAACTGTGTCTGCAGACCAGTGCTGGTCGGCAAAAAGTTTACCCGGCCATGATTTGATTTTACTTAAAATTTTATAATTTTATGTATTATGTTGATAAACTATTTAAGAACATATTTTATGACTTTTATTTTTCTTTATTATTTAAACACAATATATTTAGCAATAAAAATTACCCAGAAATTACTTAAAATGGCCCACAAACCCATTTTGAAAAAATTATTAGGACTAAACTTTTGTTACTATATTTTTTCTTTTAACTAATTTATCCTAAAAATCAAAATGGAAAAAAAAAATGCATATGTACTATTCTGTCTATTTTATAATTATTTTTATTTAATTTTACAAAAATACTGGTCTGCAAGGAATTGGAATAAAAAAAAGCTGATCCATGAACATAAAGTTTGTGAAGCACTGATATAGAGAACAAGGCTGTATAAACCATCCCTACAATTATGCAGCATGGAAGAGCCACATTGTGTGGCGTGGCTTTTACGTGAATACATGTCCAGAAGCTATGCAAGAATGTTTCTTGATAATAGGGGAATGGTATGAGACGGTGTTCCGCAATCTTTTTAGACAGAAATTTGATACGATCCAAATTATATTTTAGTTCTAATTACCAATTAGTTGGTTTGTTTCCTTTTTTTTCTGTTTTTATATCACATTTTATTATTTTTGAAATTTTTTATGTGGTTGACAAAATGCTCCTTGCAACACTGTTGGGGTCACGATCTACAGTTTGTATATCACTGATATAGAATTTTATATAATTTTGAGGGAAAGCAAAGGGGATTAGTAGGAAATTTTCAAGCATGTTTGTATATATTAAACTGTTGTAAACTAATATGTCACTGTGATGCTTTCATGATGATTTTTGAACATATTATTTTTAAAATATTTATATTCATCTAGAGTTTTGAGGATTGAGTTTCAAATATTCTTAATTTATATTTGTCAAAAATTATTATTTTTTTAATAATATAATAAAAACACATTTTTATAGTATAATTTTAATTTGTTCACACAGTTCTTCATTTCAGATAATTTATTTTTATGTAATATCTTAAGATAGAAATTTTCAATAAAAATTTACATTGATTGATTAACTTTATTTTTATAGGGTGACATGCATAGATGTGCTGCAAAGTGTTGCGATTTAAATACGGCAAGTATGGAGGAAGTTCATCAATGCATCCAAAACTGTTCTAAAAATGTATCGGTTGCACAAAGTTACGTTGAAAACGAGTTAACAAATTATCAGGTAATTATGTTATTCGCCAGTAAAACTCACACAATCAATCAAAATAATGCTATTTTCAAAAGAATATATATTTAGTAAATGCTCCTATTTATTAAACTTTATGATTCCGTTAATTATTTACATATGCTACAAATGAACTCTTACAGCTAAAAGTACTACCGAATAATATTTATAGTGTGGTTAGAAAGTTGCTTATCAAATAGGGACTCACTTGCACTTTATTCAAACACCTGTGTGAAAATCTTCATTTGTTACTGACTAGTGCATCCAGGATACTGAATATTTTTTTAAACTTTGCTAGGATATTGCCAGCAGCTTGATGTAAAGGTTCTGGAAAATGATAATGGAATTCCTGTGCAGTTTCCCGTATTGTTCTGTCAACACTGGGAAGTTCCACTCAGCGTTCAGGGGTCAGCATGATTACTTCCAGTCGTTACTGTGCCTGAAACAATAAGAACATCGATTACCCCCATTTGGGAAGCAACTTTTTGGCCATACTGTATAAAAGAATTTTTAGTATATTTTAAGCAGAATTTCTAACTTACAGTTTCCACTTAGAGTACAGTCTACTGTTGTTTTGACTGTACAGTGCTATCAGTCATGGCAAGTTAATGATTTAATTGCAAAAAAATTTAAGTTGCATACAATAATAGTTGAAGAAATTCATACACGATAATTTTTTAATCGGGTCTTGCCCTTCACCACCCGGCTGTCTAATTATGGGCCTGATAAAATATCCCTCTTAGTTCCACAGGGCAGAAAGAGTCAAAACAGAAAATTAATAAAGTATATCCTGTGCTTACTTGTAATATTCATAATATAAATGGTAGATATTCTGTTGTTATAACTCTTACAATATGAAATATTTCAAAATTATTTCAATTGAATCATTCCAATGAAATAAATGCTATATAAATTATATAACTATTACACAATTTAATTTCATTCATATTTAGTTTTTCATTCAGTTTCTGAATATAATTTCATTGTATTCAGGTTTTTCATTCTGATTTTATATTCAATTCATTTCAGTTTTTTAAATTCTAATTAAAATATATTCATTTCTTTCTTTAAAATAGTTGTTAGAATGCTAAAGCTTTGGTGCCTACAAGTCTTTTTACATGCAATTTTACAAATTGATGTATGGATTTGCCACCCCAGTTTTAGTCAGATGAGCAGCAATTTTGAGAAAAGTAAGAACTGTTCATCACAGACAATTTTCTACTTAGAGAACATGACTTCGTTGTCATCATCTATATTTCTGAATGTGTCTCTTTGTCTGCTATAGAGAGAGGAACTGTTTATAGGACCAGAAAATAGTCTTAATAAATGTAACTTTTTACATGAAATCTAATGATGTTATTTAAAATTACTCAAATGACACTTCTGCTTGATTATTAAAATTATTGATATACAATTGGCCAGATTTCTCTGTTTCCACTCCAATGTAGGTACACCTTGGGTCTAATAATCTGGTCAATTTGTTTACAAAATAGGAATCAAAGTTTTGATTCAATATTTCTACAATTATTGCATCTTACTGTAGAATTGGACAAATTGAATAATTATTTCAGAGGAATATTAATGAATTAATTTAATTCAAACTATCTTACATCGTGTTACATGTTTTGTTTAAAAAAAAAAAGTGTTTCTTTTAAATTACTCATCTCATAATCTCATTTTATTGCAATTTTGTTTTTGTTTTACATCTTATGTAGATGATACTTATGTTAAGTTTTAATTAAATGGTTTTGATTGTTATTTATATTTAAAAAATACAGTGGTACCTTGGTATACATCTGCTTTAGAATATGTCCAATTCAGAATATGTCCTGTTTGGACGAAACAAATTTTGCTCGGTATACGACTTTTGTTTGATATATGACTTAATTCAATTATACACGCCATCTATGAACAAGTAGTACTATTAGTATACTAGATCAGATTAGATGTTTGTGGTGCCACAGTTTATAACTTTGTTAAATTTCTTCTGATTTTAATTTGTAAAGAGTTTATTTTTATTAATCATGAATTGCAAAAAGGCAAATGAGAAGCAACAGAAAACTAAAAAAATGACTAGAATCACAATGGAACTGAAAAAAAAGATTGTTGAGAAATATGAAGGTGGCATGCGTGTTCAAGATTTAACTGTTGCATACTGTATTCCGAGAACGATGATATCGACGTTTGTGAAAAATTAAGATGACATTAAATCTGCTAACATTGCGAAAGGGGTTAAATCAATTTCTAAACAGGATCAAAGACATTAGATCATGTTGAGAAATTGCTTTTGCTTTGGATAACTGAAAAACAGTGTGCTGGCGACAGAGTATCGGAAGCAATTATTTGCGAGAAAGCTAAAAAGATACATGCTGATCTCATGAAAAATCAAGCAGGAACTAGCCAGGAAAGCGAGATCTTTAAAACCAGCCATTTTTTTTATTACATGAGAACGGATTAATCATTTTTACATTACTTCTTATGGGAAAGGTTGGTTTGGTATACATCCTATTCGGTATAAGTCCAAACATCAGGAATGGATTAAGGTCGTATACCGAGGTTCCACTGTAGTTATTTTAATATGACCCTTGTGAAAATCAAGGAATGCTATAATTCAAGTTAACTTCTATTTCATTGTAATTTTAATTAAGAAAGTTCTTTCAATGAAGTTCAAATCAAGATTAGTAAATACAAAAATAAATGTCAAAAAGTAATTGTCTGAATAGATATTGTCACATTATGCCGACCATTTCATACACACACAAACTGGTAAGTCTTCAACCACTTCTGATCTTCCTTTGTAGGCTTATAGAAAGATGACGTAGCTGTCTCGCTGGATATGCTTGTTGTAGCACAATGTGCGTATCCGACGGGTTTCAAATTTAATTTTAATTTGTAATTTATTTGTTAGAACATTTTCCAAATTCAAACATTATAATTTCTGATGATGGTCTATGAATGGGCAAAAATGTTTTAGAGTTTTTGTGTTATTTTGCTGGCACTGGAGTGGAATTTTATATTTTGCTAATTAAAGCAATTGTTTAGACTTTAGACTAAAATTATTTATAAATGATTTATTCCTATTTGTTAGCAAACTAATTAATATATTAATTGTTGATCTATTTCAGGGAAGAATAGAACGTTGCGTACTACAATGTAGGGACAACATTCAAGACAAAATGAGCACTTCGCCCTCCGAGAAAGACATGAAAGCATTCGAGTCTCAGTTTCACGACTGCATCGGAAAGTGTGCCGACACACACGTCGAATTGTTACCTACTCTACTCAAAAAGATGAGAGAGATGTTAAGTAAAGGAAATTATTCTTCGGAGACCAGCTAACACAGAGAGAATATTTAGAAATTAATTTTTTTTTTTTTTTAATAGAAATCTTTAATAAATTTTCTGTTATAAAATATAAGAATATTTAGTTTTAAACCTAAAATTTAGTTGTTGTTTAATTAAATGACAATTTTTCTTATCAGATTTGTTAGTTTGTTAATAAATTACATAGATTTTGGTAATATAATAGTCCCATACTACTAAACAGGCTTTTTTTTACATTTGTAACACCTAAATAGGGCCAATTTCCCATAGAAAATCTTCCTGAGAGGTATCTTGGCAGATTGTCCACATGTTGCTTTTCTGTATACAAACAAAACAATGGCGTTTTCTGGGTTTACTTCACATGTCTAAACACAGTTCACTATACTTCCTGATAAAAAAAAGTAATTTTAAAGGAAAAATTTGCAGAATTTTTGGAGACATTTTGAGCATAAAATGTAGTATAAACTTATAATTCTTAATAGTATCAGAATTTTTTCTAAAAACTCTTATACATCACTGAGATGGCCCAGATCATCTAATCACCTAACATTTTTTATATTTAAACAATTTTATTTACATGACAAAGTGTAAAAATAATTGAGTGTTAAAAATTCCACAGTACTTATCAGGGATGGCTACATCAAAATTAGAAATGTAATGTACGGTACATGGTTTACACATGCCAAAGGCATTGTCCGAGAAGAATATAAGAAACTGGTGCCTATTCAAGTGTTAAAGGCAATTAAATGATTTTTTTCATTTTGAGAATTTTACATGAATCTTTCCAATGATATTAAATTTATCTGTAATGAATTTAAGACATATCAGAAATTATTTAATGTATATTGGATAATCATAATGCTATTTTATTTGGGTAAACTAGACAAATATAGCAGAAATCTTGCTTCTGATTTAATAATTTACTTAATAATAAATATCCAGCAAGAAACTACAAAAATCTTTATAAAAACAAACATTTCACTTGCATTGAATGGTCATTGTCAGGCTAAAGAATCTTTGCAGTTCAAATGCAGCCATTAAAACAAATGATTTAAACAGAAGAATTATTCAGGATAGGTGGTTGCCATTCATGTGCTAAAAGGACAGAGGGAGACTAAACTTTATAGANAAATGCAACGACACACAACAAATCTTTCAGTTTACGAAAATAACAGCCAGCAACTACAATTCATTTTCGTTAGAGCCGTATGTATCCGGTAGAGGAGCCACCGTCTACGCGATAAATCTATAAGATAAAAATGGCGTCTAACGTTTGTTGAAAGGTCTTTGTCGGGCTAAAGAATCTTTGCAGTTCAAATGCAGCCATTAAAACAAATGATTTAAACAGAAGAATTATTCAGGATAGGTGGTTGCCATTCATGTGCTAAAAGGACAGAGGGAGACTAAACTTTATAGAACAACTTTCACGTAGAGGGGAAGGAGACTACTTCTCTTAAGTTGATAGCTGCATTTTTTATCATGGCTTTGTAAACTTCTAACTGTTGTAAACATCTAATCCATTCTTTGTGGGAGGTGCTATGTAGGAGGTGTGTTGGTCAAAATGTACCATACCTTGATGTGGGGGTCGGTGGCAAAGGTTGCTAATGCCGTGGTGGCAAGCTCTTTAATGACGGGAGAGTGATGTTCTTTGAGGCGGATGCTCATTTACTTATACCCAGTTTGAGTTGAATTTACCTGTTAAATCAGAAAGGTAGCATTATCTTAAAACTTTTTAATGAACATGCAACTTACTTAAAAAGATAAAATATGATTGAAGATATTTGTTGTTGTTTATTGTTTTGATGGTAGGATAAACATGTTGAAAATTCAGGAAACAACAATTTATTTCACAGTTTAAAGATAGGTATATAGCACATCTGGGAAGTCCATATACTCTTATTGGATGTGGCTCCCCAACATCTCCAATACCACTCCCAAGGTCGCCACATAGCCCCCATCTCGGAACACCAAATAACTCGTGGGATATTATTGAGGAAGATTGCTCTGCATTGCTACAGAACCAACAGTAAAACAGAACACATAAGGAATTCACTGGCTGCTGTCTAATCCATCACTCCTATTATAATCGTGTCTCCAATGGCTCTATTGTATTAGTAGTATGGTATTAGTTGTCACCGCGTGCTCCCATTGTAAACTCATACTGTTGTCATCACATGCTACTGTGTTATATATATATATATATATATACATTTTACCCCAAAATGAATAATCCAAGGAAAACACAACGAACCTCTGATTTTAACAAGGATTGGGAAGAAGACTACTTTGTTATTGAAAGTAAAGAGAAATGTATTTGCTTAATATACAACAGTATTGTGTCAGTGGCAAAAAAAAAAACATCATCAAACGTCATTGCGAAACCAATCACAGTTCTTTTAAAGTTAGTTGTCTGCTTAAATCCAAGTTTGAAAAAAGAAAATTTAGTCAACTAAAATCGGGATTATCTACCCAGCAAGAATTTTTTACCAGCCATGTAAATAAAAATAAAAATGCCACTATTGCTCCTATAAGATTTCTCAATTGTTGGCAAAAAAAAAAAAAACATTTTTAGAAAGTGAATTAATTAAGGGGGGCATTTCTCATTGGAGCCAATTCATTATTTAAAGGATTTTCTAATAAGTGAGAAATTATTTCATCAATACAAGATTTGCCATTATCAAACAATACAAGTACAGTACAAGAAGAATCCGGTCAATTTCAACAGATTTACAATGTCAAAAGTTGAAAAATGATTTGGAAGAATGTATTTCTAAACACACTCAAGAATACCTTTAAATATGCAGCCGTATTTATTAAATTCTAACGTTTTCGGTCATATTCAATGACCTTTCTCAAGAAAAAATCGAACTCCGAACTTGAATTAACGATACAAGCGTTTTGGAACGTTTAGTTTGTAAGAAATTGCAGTCTAGGATGAGTTGTGAGTATTTCTTATTACAATTAGATGAGACAACATATATATCAGATACAGTGCAATTGGCAGTAATGATAAGAATGGTGTTCAGTGATTTTAGTGTGAAAGAACTATAAAAGTTACTATCAATGCAAGAGCAAACAAGGGGTGAAGATATTTATAATATCTTTAAAAATTACTCAACAGAAATCAATATACCTTTACACAAGTTATCAGTAATAATTACTGATGGTGCACCAGCAACGGTGGGCTGCAATAACGGATTCATTTCCTATTGTAAGAAAGATGAATTTTTTCGGAATATTATGCATTATCACTGCATCATACACCAAGAATCATCATATGCCAAAATATTATATACAGTCAACACACCTTAATACTGAGAACGCACATTTAATCAGCTAAACAAACGTTTTCAACCCATTTCATGGGCCATCATCAGGTTAAAGACGTTCGAATNTTTTAAATTTATAAACAAACTGTTTAAACTTTTCTAGAAAAACTAAAATTTATTGTTGTGTATTAAATATTTTTTATTACAGTAATAAAAATTTAAGATTTGTTTTAGTTTTTCACATTATTTAGTTTTGTTTTATTTATTGTTTTATATTTTTTGTGTGCTCTATTGCTTGTGAGCGAGGGGGCCCGATAAGAAGAAAACGTCTAGGGCCCTAAACATGGGCGTAGCCAGAGTTTTGTTATGGGGGGCCTAGTGGAGGCCAACCTGACACAAAATTGAATTATTTCAAATTATTGTTCATTATTGGGCACCGAGCAAGCCGTTCACCTTTTTTTTAGTATTCAAAACTTTTATTTTAGCTTTAGGTNTTCACATTATTTAGTTTTGTTTTATTTATTGTTTTATATTTTTTGTGTGCTCTATTTCTTGTGAGCGAGGGGGCCCGATAAGAAGAAAATGTCTAGGGCCCTAAAGTGGGTTAATCCGGCCCTGATTATACGTCACTCGCACCGGTCGCTTCCATTGACCAATGAGTGAGGTCGTGTCGGAAAAAGAGCCTACACGTCTAACATCTCCATATTAACCTATTAAAAGAAGAAAAAAGAGTTAGTTCACTTCGTTAAGGAAATGGCGGCCGACGATATTGATGTTTCTAAATCTACTCGAGTGTTTAAATTGTTAATTAAAAAGTGAAATGATAGAAATATCTGTCCACCCGAAGCAATCTAAGAAAAATATTTCGGATAAGGCTGAACTAGCAACATTTATATCTTCGATTTTAGAACCAGCCATTTAGTTATAATAAACGAATCGGTCGAAAAGTCTAACAAAATAATAATAACGATGACGTCATTCTCGTTTAACTCGTTCGACTTTACGAACGTACCCTATGATACATCGGCTGGATAACAGTAGTCGATTTGAAATCGTACGCAAGAAGATATTGAACAACAGTCTCATTCGACATAAAATTTTCAAGATAAGTCATTGTATAAAATTTACTCCTATCGAGATATGTATACAAAGTATGATCATATTTTTCACCGTATACAAGCGAACTTATAAATACTGAGAAAAATGTAACTTCCGCTACCTTTCATCAGGGTTGACACTCGAGATATATGAAAAAACTTGGGTCTGGATGGGAAAAACCCAGATGGGGACTTTAAAAACCCAGATTATTTACCCAGAAAAATTCATGATTAAAATGTAATTATAAATACTTTATCATAGTACTGTACATTCATGCTGTTATAATTACAGACACTATAATACTAATTTAAAAAGTCATTTATTACCTAATTTACAGTAGTTAATGTTATTTTACAGTACTCTGTTCTTCTTTTTTCCATTAACAGTACTGCACAATCTTTATGCTCTTGTCGCTTCTTATACCTTTGGTGGCAAACTTCTAGTACCGCATCTCTAATTAGTTCAGGTTCGGGTTCATATAGCGAACAGCTAAGATTTTTCCTACTGACCGCTTGTTTAGCAAGCAACCTGTTCTTTGATGATTCAATAGTTAATTAGCTGGAGTTAAGATGTTGCTGTTTGTATCGCGATAGCAAATCATTGCGGAGTATGATTTTATAGCTTGAGCAGGTGTTTANATACTTCAGATGTTAATTTAGTATCAAAAACGTAAAATATTTGAGTAACCCAA